CAGAAATAAAAGCAATAATGACTGGAGTAATAACATTTTTTACATTTAATAAATGCTGCCCTGGTGAACAGAATAATTTTCTTTAAAAAAAAAACATGAAATATATATATATATATATATATATATATATATATATATATATATATATATATATATATATATATATATAATAGCCCCCCTGAATTATTAGCCCACATGTTTATATTTTTCTTCACTTATATACAGTTCTACTTCTATACAGCTTAAAGTGACATGTAAAGGCTTAACTAGGTTAATTAGGTTTACTAGGCAGGTTAGGGTAATTAGGCAAGTTATTGTATAATGATGGTTTGTTATGTTGACTAGTGAAAAAATATATAGCTTAAAGAGGCTAACAATTTTAATCTAAAAATGGTGTTTAAAATATGAAAAACAAATATGACTGTCTCTAGAAGAAAAAATCATATCAGACTTACTGTGAAAATTTCCTTGCTCCGTTATCATTTAGGAACTATAAAAAAATTCAAAAGGGGCTAATAATTCTTACTTTAACTGTATATATACATCCCATAATATGAAGTTTCAAAGCACCTGTGTTTGTTCATCCAGAAGGCAATTTATATAAATAACTGTATTATTATTAATTATTTTTAATAAGCTTCTTACTATAACACTTTTTTTGTAATAAAATAATTCCTACCTGATTTCCGCCATACATGCCACCAGCACAGCCACTGCCAGCCCGTGCACAAGTGCTGGCTGCAGTCTTCCAGCTGCTTCCACATTTTCAATAACAGACACACAGCCAATGAAGACAAAAAATGTCGTGCCCACCAGCTCAGCAATGCATGGCTGGAATATTCTTTCGTATTTGCTCTGAGGTTTTGGTTTGTCTCTGTTTAACAAGGTTTTGTCCAGTTCTTCGAGCTCCAGCTTCTCTGCTTCCACCGGCATTGTGCTCCATCAAGTGCAATGAGTAACTCTGGGACTGTGGCAAAGGAAACACTATGATAACAGAGCTCACTTGTTCCATCATAAATCACTCTTTTATCCATAAATGTCTGATATTTTATCATAGGAATATTGTAAATGATCAAGCAACATTATACAATCAAGTTTTAGTTGACATTTAAAAGCTTAAAGAGTAACTGTGGGGTTTTCAGTTCAGAGTTACATCAATGGAGATTTGCTCTCTTATCGCATGTCAAGTTTCACATTTGAGCAGTGTTGTTTCCACTATTATCTCTGTGTTATTTATTTGTCAAGTGTGCCATAACTACTTGGCCTTGCGTGTAAATGCTATCAATCCAAATAGCATTGTAAAACATCACATGGACGCTTCTTGGTGAACTTTGAGCAGAAATGTTAAATATGTTGATGGTTTTAAAATGTTATTAATATACTCAAGGTGTCATAAAATTACTAATACTTAATCATAAATATTTACATTTTATGATAATCCTTTGCAAAAGTCAAAGACTTTACTGTAAAAAATGTACTGCTTTGTTGTTAAAAGTTAAATTTTCTAGTCACCTCAACTTACAAACTGACTAAACATATTAAGCTAAACCTACTGGCTTATTAAAATAAGTTAAAGCAACAAAAACATTTGATGTCGTAAATTTTGTCACATCATTTTTCTTACAGTCTATATTTTTAGCACAGTATAATGATGACCTCATATAATTTAATTTGCATACAACCAGAAATACATTTTAGTCAGTGGTTTCAGTGAACCAATAGGATTGTTAGTCCTAAAAATTCATTCTATTTATTCATTTTCTTTTCAGCTTAGTCTGTTTATTAATCTGGGTTAACCACAGCAGAATGAACCGCCAACTTATCCAGCACGTGTTTTACGCAGCAGATGCCCTTCCAGCTGCAACCCATCACTGGGAAATATCCACACAAACTCATTCACATACATACACTACGGACAATTTAGCTTACCCAATTCACCTGTACCGCATGCTTTGTGAGGGAATTGTGGGGGAAGCCTGAGCACCCAGAGGAAACCAACAGGAGGAGAACATGCAAGCTCTACATAGAAATGCCAACTGAACCAGCTGGGCTTGACTCAGCAACCTTCTTGCTGTGAGGCGATTGTGCTAGCCACTGCACCACCGTGCTGCTTAGTCCTGAAATAGGCAGACAAAAATTACTTCATAATGTTTTCCTGATCAGCATCATGATAATCCCAAACCCATTGCTTGTAAAAATTATTATTTGGAGAGAGAAAAAAAACACTGACAGTCATGAACTGGCCTCCACACAAACTATACCTAAAAAATTATAGAGCTGGTATGAAATTACGAAGAAAAATTACACTAAAACACTGTAAAAAAAAAAAAAAAGTATTTAAAAGGGTTCAAGATGTGCTTAGTGCAGCGAAATCACACTAAATAATCAATTTAGCTTGAAAAAAATCAATTTAAGCTATTTGTTTTCATTTATTTTATTTTCAGCTCAGTCCCTTTATTTATCTGAGATCGCCACAGCGGAACGAACTGCCAACTTATAGACCATATGTTTTACGCATCGGATGCCCTTCCAGCTGCAACTTATCACTGGGAAACATCCATACACACCCATTCACACACATACACTAAGGATAATTTAGCTAACTCAATTTTACCTACAGCGCATGTCTTTGGACTGGGGGAAAAACTGGAGCACCCGGAGGAAACCCACACATACACAGGGAGAACATGCAAAGAAATGCAAGCTGATCCCGCTGGGGCTTGAACCAGCAACCTTCTATCTGTGAGGCAATTGTGCTACCCACTGTGCCACCATGCTGCCCTTGTTTTCATTCATTCATTCATTCATTTTCTTTTCTTTTAGTCCCTTTATTTATCAGGGGTCGCCACAGCGGAATGAACCGCCAACTTATCCAGCATATGTTTTACACAGCAGATGCCCTTTCCAGCTGCAACCCATTACTGGAAAACACTCATACACTCTGATTCACACATACACTACGGACAATTTAGCCAACCCAATTCACCTGTATCAAATGTCTTTGGACTTTTGGGGACACCGGAGCACCCGGAGAAACTCATACCAGCAGGGGGAGAAAATGCAAACTCCACACAGAAATGCCAATGGACCCAGCCAAGGATCGAACTAGTGACCTTCTTGCTGTGAGGTGTCAGCACTACCCACTGCACCACCGCGCTGCCCCTAATTTGTATCATTTTAGATTGTGTTTCTGTATTTCCTGTTTGTTTGTTAATAAAGAGGCTGAAAATTAAAATTAAGATCACTTAAGAGCTGTTTTATCACTTTTCTGGGTTTGTTGTTGATGTGTTTTGAGTAAAATATATGTGTCCAGTGATTATTCTAGTTTAATGGTACCCTGGGCAAACCACCCCATACAATTAAATAAATATAACAATTTATTTATATTTATTATTAATATTATACAATTATTTTTCTACATAAATAACAGAAATCAATCCTAAATGTAACTGGAAAACAATGTAACAACTGGAGTGATATGCTCACTTAAGACATCTTTTGCATTAATTATAATTATGACAATTCTATAATACAAAAAAATGTATATGTTTTATAGAATTGTCGGTAACACTTTATAATAACTACACACTAATCATTTATTAAGCATTACCATCTAGTGAATTCATTATCTGTTAAGTATTAACTCTACATTAATAAACATTTGTAAGCAGTTTATAACTGCAGTTACAAATAATTTATTCTTGACTTACAACTACATTTAAAATGTGCTTAATAATTGTACTTTCATACTTTGTTAATGATATATTTTTCATGACTAATATAATTACTGCATTATTAACGAACCGTTTTTATTTAGGAGTAGTTGGTGGTTTTTAAGATCATTCAGAATGAGTTAGCAAATGACGCCAAATGGGTTGTTTCCACATGAGCAGTGCGTTTGCATATTATAAATACAATAAGTAGGCCATATTCGCGCGTGGAAGCCGCGTGTCTCCAATTAAATAAAAAACGTGACACACTCACAGAACTAGACCTACATATTCGAACAGGACCACCAACACTGCATGTTTTGGATGTCTCCGTCTGACACAATCATTACACGTCTTGCAGTCTCTGCTAATGAGCTGTTGATCTGAATCAGGTGTGTTTGGTGGTGGACACATGAAAAATGTGCAGGGCTGAGAGCTGATGGTCTGGAGGAACGTGGTTGAAAAACACTGCATTACTCATAATAATTATAGAAATGAGTCTAAAATCATCAGATGTGTAACGTTGTCACAACAACACCTCTAAAATCAATTTAAGTCTAGTCCTACAAGTTTCTAAGTGAATAATAACCTATAAACGGTGGCAAAAACAAACTTTTCTAAAATGCTACAAATATCTAAAAGCACTTGCCTCAGTAGAGCTGCAACCTTCTCTTCGATGAATGAACTCTGCTTTGCAGTGGTGTCGTATGTTTATAAACACCTATCAAAAATCCACCTTGCAGACTGTCCTAAACTAAACTAAAATATTGCTGTTTTGGCTTATTGTTCGTTCCAGAAAGACAATATATTTTGGAAATTTTATTTCTGAATTACATGTTTTTTATTAAATCTTTTTTTAACATATTGATAATCTGAGGGGCGGGTGAGGACGCTAACCCAAGCTTAATCTTTCAACTTTATTAAACGCAAATTAATTTCGTAATGCAGTCTGTAGTTGCCTACCTTGCTGCCATCTTCCTGAAAACCACCACTAAACATAACAGTTATAACAGTATAATAACATAACAGTTATAAAAGGTTTAAGAGAAAACGAGTATAAGAGAAAACATTATAAAATTAGTATTATGCTGCACTAAAAATGAGTTTTTTTAAATATACTTTTATTTTTCATGTGCGCTTGCATCTCATTATGGTAGTTGCTGTCATGATTTCAATCTTTCATGTCAGCAAGTGTATTCTGCACTGAAGCTGATATTACTTTGGCAAATAATGTAAATTTGGTGCTGCATAATTACATATTGCAAAGTGAAAACAAATACTTCCAGACAATTTATAACAAAAGACTTCCTTTATTAATGTAAAAAACTGAATATATAATGACAGGGTATAAAAACTAAAACAACAACTATATTTGGCGAAGAGACATTTAAGCATCAGGATACAGAAAAGAGTAGAATACTGCATTCATATAAAAGTTTGTCAATATTATACAACGCTTTACAAGGTAAAAAAGCTTGCAATCCTCTTCAGTTCCTTCTTCCATCATTTGAAAATAACACGGACCTTCTTGTCACCCATTACCAATCTAGAATGAATCAAATAATTGGTCAGAACATTTATACTGGCATACTGCAAATTAAGATCAAACATTTCAAACTGAAACACAAAACTGCAGCAAACATCAAATGAAGCTTAAAGGGACAGTTACGCCAAAAATGACAGTTCTTCATCTACCCCTCCCCCCACTTGTTCCAAATTATGAGTTTCTTTCCTCTGTTGATCACAATGGAATATATTTTGAAGATGTTGGAAACTGGCAGCCATAGACTTCCATAGTAATTGTTTTCCTACTATGGCAGTGGTTCTCAAACTTTTTTCACCAAGTACCACCTCAGACAAAAATTGTAACTGCAAGTATCCCCATAATGACCAGTATTGAATTAAAGTAGTGCAGTTGGCTAAATTAAGCAGCTACAGCACTGCACACTTATAAAAAAAGACGCAGAGTCATATTTATTCAACGAAATTATATTTCATACAAAATGCGAAGCTGATCAGTCGGTTCTTATCACGTGACTCACGGTGCGGCATTCTGAAAAGTTAAGATGTTTTCAACTGGGGACACCTGGAATACACAAGCGCCTCGTGCTGTAGTTCTTACTCATTTTGCTAGCCTGTGGATTAAATTTTAACGCTCAAGTGACCAAGATGTAACAAGAGAATACAAGATAAAAGATTTTTCAAAATAAATGATCGTTCAGGCTCAGATTATAGATAAATGGAAAAAAATAATGATTTTTTGTGCGGCCTGGTACCAATTGATCTATAGACCGGTGCCGGTCTGTGGCCCGAGGATTGGGGACCACGCTCCATGCACCTCTTTCTCTAGTTATGCGACAATTTAATTGATTTTTAGCAGCTGATGACGCGATACCATAGTTTGAGAATCACTGTTCTATGAAATTCAATAGCTACTGGTTTCCAACATTCAAGTATCTTACTTTGTTTTAAACAGAAAAAAAACTCATAAAGGTTTGGAACCACTTGTGGGTGAGTAGATTGTGAACACATTCTGTTTTGGCTAAACAGGCCCTGTAAATTGGATTGCACGCCAGATATGCTGCGCCACATTGCAACACCTCTTTTATAATTGTAAACACTATTTTCTCTGAGGGTATGCACACCAGCGCCACCATTTGGCATCTGCTTGTGTTGCTTAGGAACATATGGATAATTATGTGTAAAGATGGTGCGTAACCCACTTTACTCAGTCGTAATACATTGTTCAAGCTGATACACTAAATGATGAAAATCCTTCATTGTGTATGATAAAATCAAGAATACCTCACAATGCTGACAGTGACCAGAGCGCCGGTAAGAGGTCCAACCCAATAAATCCAGTGGTGCGTCCAGTGGCCGGACACTACTGCTGGCCCAAAGGCTCGTGCAGGATTCATACATGCTCCTGATATTCCTCCCCTGTTTAACACACATGACAAAACCAGTGAGGACCTTGAAACCCCACACACAGTATATCAACCGCGAAACCAAAAAGTTCATTGTACTTAATATAAACAAGTTACATGAACTGCAGTTTTACATTTTCTCCACGCTACATGAACTCCTCCAACTTAAACTGACTGAGTAGCAGATTTCAAATAGGCTCATTCTGAAATCATAGCCCTATAAACATTTCTGGAGATCGCAAAATATGTAGCCAGAGCTATGTATGGGTGCATTTCATCTTTAAAAGGGAGGCTACAAGGCGGTATGATGGGGTTCCTTTTTTCAATAGGGTTTGAGTCCGATGAAGAACGGTTCCAGAAAGCAGATAAGACAAAAACAAAAGCCAAAAAATAAAATGAACAAGTAAATAACAGGGTGAGAATGTGGTAAAATCTGAAAACGTGGTAAAATCAAGCTGCTGTAAGGGATTTTCTTTTTTGGATTGCTTTTTAAAACACTGCGGTTGGGTTTAGGGAAGGGAGTGGGCGGGTCAATCAATGCTTTTTAAAACACTATTGCTTGGGTTTAGGGAAGGGAGAGGGATCGGTCAATTGTTCATTAAGTCAAAAGTGGCCTTTGATGGATTTATGTGAGAACAGCAGGCATGAATGGTATTCGCGAGAAAAATTTGAGATCTGAAAAAGTGTACACAGTGGCCTCTGGTGGATTCCCGAAAACAGAAGCTGCAGAAAATGTAGCTCCTGGGACGTATTTCGCTCTCTCCAGAAATGTAAATTGGGCTACCAAATCAGAATTAGCCTAGGTTGCAGATTTCAATTTCCCTGCTTGCTTTGTATTAGTATGTATAAGGAAAATAATGCTGTGTCCCAATTTGCATACTATCTGTCATAAATAGAATTAGTATGTCCAAAATCAAAATATATTGAAATGATTATAGACCCTTTTCACATTTCCACGTTTCTTATGCCTCATTCACACTAGCAGCAACTTTCTAGCTGTCTGCCACTCTGTAGGGTGAACTGATGCACACACAGGTCTGTGTAGGTCTACAGCATGGAGAATACAATCAACCTCTGCAAGAGCTGAGGGAGGATCACGTGAGCTCTACTGGTGCTCCTATTGGCTGTCGTTCAAGAAAGTCGCTCTTCATTTGCATAAAGTTGATGGATTCTCAACTTTGTTGCGTCGCTCGACATGTCCACCTGGCCGCCAACAGTCGCTGTAGATTGCGTAGACGGAATTGTCAAAAGTTGCTCACTTTGTTGAAATGAACGAACATTTGCCGATTTGCCACTGTAAGTCGCTCAAAGTGTGAATAAGACTTTAGCAGCAGTTTGTAGTCATCATTTTTTTTTTTTATATGTTAGTTTTATGAAGGATTTGTTGTGTGTTTAGAAGCTCAAAAAAGGGCCACTTTCCAACATTATACAGTATGGAAGAGCCAGATTTAAACTTAAATCTATTTGTTTTGTCTGAAAGAAGAAAGTCATATACATCGAGGATGGTTTCAGGGTGAGTAAATTATAAATTTCATCTTGAGGGGAACTATTTCTTTAACCTATGCTGTTGCTAACATTAAATCATAAAGATTTGAGTTTGATCAAATTTTTGCAACCAAATTTCAGAAATTCATACATTGATTAATTTCAAGAAAATTCTACTAAATGTCTAAAACAGGGGTCACCAATCTCAGTCCTGAAGGGGCCGGTGTCCCAGCAGGGTTTAGCTCCAACTTGCCTCAACACCTTCTTGGATGTTTCAAGTATACCAAGTAAGACCTTGTTGAGGTGTGTTTCATTAGGGTTGGAGCTAAAATCTGCAGGACACCGGCCCTCCAGAAACAAGTTTGGTGACCACTGATCTAAAACATCAGTTCCACCAACATTTTGGGTGAAAATCTTTAAGGATTTACAGTGCTGTTTAGTCTCAGGAACAAATATTTCCTGGAGTATAATTAAATCTTTGTTTGGTTTCCATGTTCACTGAAATACATTTATTACAAGTGAATAAGTTTTCATTTTGATTCAATATCGTCTTATATAAACGCTGCAAACAGTTATCCTAAAATAAGATAGCAGGTAGTTTTGTAACATGACATGAAACACCATCTGATTTACCAATCTAAAATGAGCTACAAGGGTAAAACCAGTTCACACTTGAGGTCAATCATGGGACAACAGTCTGCATCAATGCTCAGGATCTGAGTCAAGAAAATATAGTCAATGATAATATTATTTTTAGTATCATATGATGATGGCTTTATATAATCAGTAGCTAGTAGTTTATCTAAACTATGTTTGTTATATTGTTATTAAATGACCTCTATATTTTATATTTCTATATTTATGTATTTTACTTGATTAATAGATAATTTTTGTACATCCAGAAATATCCTCAATCAAGAAAGATTGTTTTGGATATGGATGATTATAGTAACAGCAACTAAAAATATATACTTTTTTTTACTATTTACACAAAACAAAACAGAAAAGCTTTTACTTTTAGATTGTGTGTTTTATATAGTCAAGATAATAGCTGTTAAATGGTAAAGAGAGAATCATACATTAAATTATTATAATATTGTTGTTTTGAAGAAATGTATTTATTATTTTTTGTAATGATATCATCTATAATTATTGTTCTGTAATTATTTAACTTTTATACAAGTTTATTTTACTTATTACTCTCACAATAAAATAAGAGAGAGAAAGACAAAGAGAGAGAGAGAGAGAGAGAGAGAGAGAGAGAGAGAGAGAGAGAGAGAGAGAGAGAGAGAGAGAGAGAGAGAGGGGGGGGGAGAGAGAGAGCAAGAGCAAAGTTTGAGACTCCAGACTCAAAAAACCGGAATAACAATGCTCTTTATGACTATAACTCGCTAGACTTTTGTTTTAAGCAGTCGGCTACAGGATATTGTGTGCACTGTTTGTTTCCTACCCAGCCAAGATATTTGCCGTCACAGTGAGTCCAATGCAGAAAGGAGCAAGTTGACTTTTGGTTCTTCCGTTCACAGCGCCCATGCTGACGACAATAGTCAAGAAAAGCGTCATGATCATCTCAGCCATAGTGGCAGCTCCAATGCCGTCAGACGACGGAATGGCATTAAACGCTGCTCCTGTTGCATTGCTGAATGCATCATTTGTAGTCACAGCCTGAATATAAGACACAAAAAGTCAATTTTTGCATCACAAAAAAGTAAAAAACATCCTTTACTTCTTGTAATTGTGCCTGAGAAAATATTGACCGATATTGTACTCTTTACCAGATGACATTTGGTCCTAAAAGTTACTCTTTTGATAGTCATTTGTCCAAAGTTCATTTTACTCAATATGGTGTTAATATTTTACTGTTTCATGACTCTTTTTACTGTTTTTATCATTAACTTTCAATCCCATTTTATACAATGTTAAATAAAATTGTTTATATTTCAACTTTTAGAAACCCCATAATAAAAGCCTTGGTTATCAGAAAATAGTCTTTAGTTTCATAAATCGATTCCAGGTCACATCATATTGAATAAACAAATTTATGCTTTACAAATCAAGTCAAAAAGAAGCAGTGCTGTGCAGTGAACAGATTTAGTTTTGTGTTTATTATTAAAAATGTAAAAAAAAAAAAAATGAAAGGTGCAGTTGAAAAATCATTATTAAATTCATGTTTCAAACCTGTATGAATTCACTTCGTTTTTATAAATATACAGCAAAACAAAAATTTAATTGCAGCATCTTGAATAAAAATAATGGTTGCAACTTGCAGCCTAAAGGTTAATCAAATAAAAAGAGTTTAAATTCCCATTATTAATACATGGAAACATTTTTTAGCCTCATTTACAGTGGTTTCCCCATGAAATTTCACAGTTAAATCCTATGAAGTGATACTAATGTAATTTACTATCACAAAATACAGATGCATGTTGTGAATTTCTTTAAATTGTTTTGCTGTTTACCTACAATAATATTTTTTCTTTAGTATTAAGCTCTTTTACGCTTCAAGTCTTAATAGGCATAATTATGAAAATTGATATAGAAGTATAAAAACATACTTTGGCAAGGCTGGCAGCAATCACTCCACCTAACATCTGTGAGATGATGTATGGCACCAGGAGGATCACCTCCATTCCTCCAATGAGGTAAACACACACAGACACGGCTGGATTGAAGTGACCACCACTGGAAAACAACAAGTGTTGTGATTACACAATCATAGTTCAGAACAAATGTCTACATTAGAATTTTAGAAGTGAAAATATGTAACTTAATAACAAGATTCATGTAAATAAAATAATAAATTAAATGTTTAAAAAAATGTAAAATTAAACAACTGTTTATTAAATGTATAATTTTTAATTTATAAAATAATAAAATTCAGACTTTGGTCTAATAGGAATAGTCAGATGTTAAACATTAATTAATGTTAAACAAAAAATACAATTAAATTTACAGATTTCATGTCTAAAATTCTGTTTACATTATTTAAAATTATTGAATTATAAAATTTTAAATAATACTTTTTAAATAATCAATCATTTTAACCCACTGCCAAAAATATAGCTGTGCAACATAAGACTTTATAACCATTATGATCATTTTATAGTATGATTAAAATGCTGGATTGAATTAATAACTAGATAACAAGATGACACTGTAAAATTCAACAAGAAACCATACATAATCATACACAGCCTAGTTAAATATGAATGAATGAAACCTCAAAAAAAATTTATAGAAATGATTAAAATAATTTCTAATTTTAACAATAAATGAAATAAAGTACATAAAATTTCGTTTATAAAATCACAAACTTCTAAATATTTGAAGTATATGTTAATAAAATGCAACTTTACAATTTTGGATAGATTAAATAGGCTAAGTGTCTATTTTAAATGTTCATATTATAATATTAGAAATAGAGTAAATATTATAAATGTCATGCATATTTTATAATATATTCATTCATTTATTTTTATCTGTAATGTAGACTTGTAAAGTGGAATCATGATGCAAAACACAAGCAAATTACCTGATTTCCCCAAAAATTGCTATTGCTATGGCCAGTGCTAGTCCGTGTGCCAGGGCGGGCTGGATGCTCCCGCTGATGCCCACGTTGCCCATGACGGACACGCAGCCCACAAACATGAAGAGGAAAGAGCCGACGACCTCTGCCAGACACGGCTGGATGTAGTGCTCGAAGAAGGGCAGCTTCTTCGGCTGGTTCTGGTGGTTGTCTCCCCCATCGCCCGTGGCTACAGTGAAGAGCTCAGACTTGGACTCTGCCGAGGTCATTTTTGATTTCTGCCCGGAGCTTCAGGGTGATTTGCGGGCATCAGCCGCGGGTTCGAGCTGATAAAGGTGGGCAGAGGATGGGGTGGAGTGGCGGTGAGGCGGGCCAAATATGGCTCCCTCGTCATCAGTCTCGGTGGCTTGGGAAAAAACACTTCATTTCCAGCAGAAGAGAGCATTGTTTGGGGGGGTGACGGGTTCAGGATAAAGCTTATCATCCAGAGCCTGTTATTACACAACTGAGTGAGGACAATAAAAACGTGCGGAACGAACTCTCGTCGTATCACCCAAGGTCTGCTCGTCTGTTATGCAACTCAATTGATCCCGGCTAATGTAGTTTCCCCAAACTTGATAAATTTATTGGTATATTATAGATTGGTTTTGCATTTCGACAGGGCCTGCAGCAGTTTTATTTATTTTTTGTCCCATCAGATCAAATCAGGGTTCCCGGGGCGGCAAATAGCAGCACAAGGTTGAGCTGGGTTAATGTTTCTCTTGAGGGACTCACTGACAAAAGTGAATGCAGAGAAAGACTGCAGGATGCACGGCGTTGATGGGCGAAGAGGAAACGTTTCCTTTTTTTGTGTCTTTTAATCGCCTTTTGTTTTCTAAACTACTTCCTGGTGATTATTTATGACGTTCGAGAAAAAAAAAAGAAACACTAAAATGTTGGTGGTCGCCCTAAATTAACAATGATATTGGCATTTTAATTAGCATTTGTGTTTAAACGCAGTTTTGCTCGAATACCTGTATGCAAAGGGGGTAAGATCTGGGGTGGCCAAGCTTTTTTTTGGATGAAGGGCCAAAAATCAAATATCATTGAGAGCCTGGGCCGAAGGTGAATAAACCAAACTATGTTACATTAAATATGTCATGGGTGGTTTCGTAATTTATTTAATAACATTTCAAAATAAATAGAAAACATTACTTTAAATTAATTTAAACATTTTTATTGATAACTTAAAAAGCAATAAAAACATAAACAATCACATTGATAACAGTGGAGTTCAATGCTGAACACGCTGGTCAAGCAGAGTCTGCCCTTATCTTGATTTGCTCAACCAAAGTCTCTGCAGTGTCGGGTGACAGTACAATTTAGATCAGGGGTCACCAATCTCGTTCCTGGAGGTCCAGTGCCCTGCAGGGTTTAGCTCCAACTTGCCTCAACACACCTGCCTGGGTGTTTTAAGTATACCTGGTAAGACCCTGGTTAGCTTGTTCAGGTGTGTTTGATTAGGGTTGTAGCTAAAATCTGCAGGACACCGGCCCACCAAGAACAAGTTTGGTGATCCCTGATTTAGATCATTTGATTGAAACATTTAATTTCAGTTAGCTTTTAATAATAAAGCAAACAAACAAAGGGTTACATTAAATTTGAGTTGACATTTTCAATAGGATTTCCATAATTCTTACTTTCTTCTCAGGAAGGATGGCGGGCCAAATCAAAAGTTTACCATGGGCCAATTTTGGCCTGCAGGCCCTAGTTTGGTTGCCTTTATTTAATTTTACATGTAAATTGAACTTTTATTTTCAGCATCATTAGTCAACTTCAGTCTCACATGATCCATTGTATCATTTATTTTCATTTCGGCTTAGTCCCTTTATTAATCTGGGCTTGCCACAGCGGAATGAACCTCCGACTTATCCAGAACATGCTTTATGCAGCGGATGCCTTTCTTGCTGCAACCCATTACTGTGAAACATCCATACACTCTCATTCACAAAAAAAAAAAAAAACACAGATAATTTAGCCTAACAAATTCAGCTATAGAACAATTCACCTTCAGTGCATGTTTTTTGGACTTGTGGGGGAAACCCACACCAACACAGGGAGAACATGCAAACTCCACACAGAAATGCCAACAGACCCAGGTGAGAGAGGATCGAATCAGCGACCTTCATGCTGTGAGGCAACAGCACTACCCACTGTGCCACCTTTACATTGTATCAATTAAAACATTTTCTATTATAATCAAGGATGAAAATAGTTGAGCTGCATTATTCACCTAATGTTTTAGGAGTTTTAAGTTAAAAGAAAGCTCACAGCATTTATTTGAAATGCAAGTAAAAGGGTTATAAAATGCTATATATATATATATATATATATATATATATATATATATATATATATATATATATATATAAACAATCTTTAAATAAGTATATTGCAAGCATTCACACACTTTATCTTTACACTTGACATTAGGAGGATTTCAGATTCACCAAATCATCTTTTAAATATTTCTACTTTAAGTAGATGACAAATTCAATAATCAGTTGCCTAGAGGAAAAACCACATCTTGAAGTCAAAGGAACGGTCTCTAGAGCTGTGTTGAGACAAATCTGGGAATGAATAAAAAAAATTTCTCCACAGGTACACATGAGCATTCGGCCTACATAATCCTGAACGGAAGTATTCAATGACCAGGGCTCCTAAACTGACCTCCAAAACTCCCAACCAAACTGAGCAACTGGAGGAGAAACATACAACACTGCAACACTCAAAACACTTAAGCCTCTTCCAGCCAAGGGACACCTGCTTAGAAACTTCCAAATGCACCTAAACAGCTCTTCAGACAGTAAGCAATGAGAATCTCATATTTGGAGGACACCAGGTAGAGCTCAGATTTAGATATCTAAAGAAATCAGAAGATATCTGTCAACAGTTCCCATCCCAACTAACAAAGACTGAGAAGATCTATAGAGAACAACGGCAGAACCACAATCACAATGCAGAGTTGCAAAGTTTGCTTTCCAAATTATCAGAGGTTGTCAATCCTAGTGCTCACGATACCCTACTGTGCACATTTAGTACGTCTTATCACTCCAGAGGTTTGTTCCATTCAACCACAAGTGGCCTGTGAAGCGGACATAACAGGGTCTTTTACCATGATTTCAGTTCGAAAAGAAGTGTAATGAATTCAAAGGGTATTAAAGAGTCAGGACATGACTTTTCCACAATTCTCATGCAGCTATGGGGCTCTCTTTTGACGAGCTGTTATCTAAATCAGTGTGAAAAAAGAGAGACATGAAGAAAAGCAGAGTGTACGGTGGTGATTACCAGGATTGAGAACCATGAAGCCACTGTATTAGGTACACTGTAAAAATAATAATAAATAAATCAGCCGTGGTTAAATGTATTTAAATAAATCAAACAGCCGCTGTGGATGGCAGAATTTTACTGTTAAAATAGCATGTCTTAATTTTGCTTGGGGACTTTACATTTTTATTTTACAGTAAACTACCATATTTAATTAATTTATAGTTTACACCAGTTGTTTGAAGTACTAAAATCTACACATTCTACATTTGTTAACCAGACAAAAACACAACCAAAAGTGTGTGGTGATGACAAAGTCAAATAATGAACCAATGCTTACCACAAATAGAAACTAGTAATATATAGAAGGTGCTTCTATATAGAGTGTCGGTTACAAAACTAATAAACACAATCATGGTAAACACACACAGAGCTAAAGTAATGCAATAAACATTACATTACAATAAACAACTAATGTACAAAACTGATACATTAGTAAGTGAAGCCTAAATATAACTACAGTAATGTCTACAAAAATAGTGATGCAGGGAATTCTCTGAAAATCAATCTACAGTTAATTAAAATATATTTAAAAAAATAATGCCAGGCTATAGGATTTTACTGTAACATTTTACGTGGTCATGAAGAAATTGATATGGCCAGCCCAGTTAGTACTAAGTGACTATATCCCCCAAACAATTATAACACCATCGGGTCCAACCATTTACACACAGCAGATGGATCCATGGTTTCAAGCTTATGGGAAATTCTAACCCTTTCTAAAAATTGACGTTGGTCAAAGCAGACAACCTATTAGTATCAATGTTCTGCTGTCCAAGTGACACTAGAGTGCTCTTCTTATGCTGCTGTAGCTCATCTGCTTCAGTGTTTGATGAGTACTGAGATGCTCTTCTACAGGCTTTGTAAACAGTGGTTATTTTAGCTATTCTTGACTATCTATCTACTTGAACCCAGTCTGATCATACTTCTCACACCTCTGCCATCATAAAGGTATTTTCAGCTTTTGTGCTGCCACTGGATGTTTTTTTTTGTAACCAAAATGTCCTCTGTATGAAAGCATTTTCTGAAATAATCTTGTATATAAATCTGGATATAATCTGTATATGTTGGTCTGTAAACAATAAGGCCAATGACATGTTCAAAGTCACTTACATCAACTTTGCTCCCTATTTTTGTTTGAACTTCAGCAGATTGTCTTATCTACCTACATGCATGATTGATGGTATATTTACATTAACCAGCTATTGGGGAGTAATACAAAAAATAAATAAATCACAATCTAAAACATTGTTACAATTGGTAATAAAAAGTTTAAAATATGAAAAACATATAGCAAAACATTTAATATACAATAATAAGCTTTTACACTATGACCACCCACCTAATAACCTGCAGGACATACTCAATCCCTCAAAACTGTATCCATGCGTCGAGGAACTGATTCAGTGAGGTTGGGATAGGTCTTCTGGAATACCAATGTCATTAAACATTGTAGAGTTGTGGTGATAGAGCGAATCTGGTTTTCAAACTCAATTTGGTTAATGTAAGGTAAATTTGGAGGCCAAGGCATTAATTAAAATTCCCCCACCTCTTGATAGGAACACAGTAGCCATGAGTTGGAGCAGCAGGTCCACAATGGTGTCTAAATACTTGACAGTTGTCAGAAATTGTCCTTCTGGGATAATGGGTCCTAAATTGTCCCAAGAAAACCCCATTCAAATACTGCCACCTCTGGCATGTGTCTGCTTAATTTAGCATCCAGGTGCCCTCTCTTGGTAATTGGTGAACAATGTGCAGCAGTCTCTGCTCCACTACGGCATCACTGAGCTGTGGGCGACACGCGGCTAGACAACGGTTCATTGTTTGGCCATATGTGCACCGCTTTTGCAATATAAGCTCTACTACAGCACACGAACAACCCACAATTTCCGCTGTTTCTGAAACTGATGTTCTGAAGTGCAATAACATAATTGCT